GAGGATGCTTTTCATGTTCTAGGTCTTATTCCCGAGCAAAAAATTACAGCTGCCTTGCGAATGCTTGCATATGGAGCATCTGCAGATCCAGTGGATGAGATCGCGAGGATGGGAAGAACAACTGTTCTAGAGTCCCTGATGCAGTTTTGCTCTGCAATTAAAGCCCTCTACACCAATGAGTACCTCCGGACACTCATGCCAAGGGACATGCTAAGGCTTCTGAGGAAGGGTGAGATGCGAGGCTTCCTTGGTATGATTGGAAGCATCGACTGCATGCACTGGACTTGGAAAAAATGTCCAAGTGCGTGGCAATGAGCTTATGGTGATAGAAAATGAGCCAAAAACATCATTTTGGAAGCGGTGGCTTCATTTGATACATGGATTTGACATGCTTTTTTTGGTGTTCCAGGAGTTCAGAATGACTTAAATGTCCTTGCCTAATCCCCAGTGTTCGACGAACTGCTGCAAGGAAAATCGCCGAGATGCACATATTGGGTTAACGGTACCCAATACGAACGATCATACTACCTTGCAGATGGCATTTACCCAAGGTGGTCAACGTTTGTCAAAACAATGCCACATCCATAGACTGAAAAGGAAAAACACTTCGCAAAATGTCAAGAAGGGTGTAGGAAAGATGTCGAGCGTTGTTTTGGTATCCTGCAAGCTCGTTGGGCGTTTGTCAGGGCTGCAGCTAGAATGTTTGATGTCGAGGCTCTTCGATCCATCATGATGATGTGTATTATTCTCCACAACATGATTGTTGAAGATGAGTATGATTATGATGCCGTCGATGAATATGAGCTGGATCCGATGAACAACTCAAGAACACGTATCTACTATGCTCATGACCGGACCGAAGATCACGTGCAACACGAGCCGTTGAAACACAATGGACGTTACAATGAATTGATCGTTCAGCAGTACACTGATGTGCAAGAGCCATATTGGCACGTAACTTGCCATAATGACTTGATTGAGCACCAGTTGGGATTGCATGAAGGCGAAGATAATTAAAATGAGGCTTGTGGTTGAAGAATAAAGTGTATTTTTTTTAAGTTTACGTAATTCTATGTAGTGTGTTTTGTTTTTAAGTTTATTTGGTGAGTTTATGTAATCTTATTTCATGTGTTTAAATAAAGTAAAAAATAAATAAATAATTACATTAAAATTGCATAATAAATAAAATAAAAATAAATAAATTTTTAAAAATAAATAAGAAATAACATAAAAATTACATAAGAAATTAAATAAAGTTCAAAAGAAAAAAAAACAAAAAAACAAAAATTACATAAGAAATTAAATAAAATTCTAAAAAAATAAGAAATTACATAAAAATTATACAAAGTCTCTGGAGCTAGGATATGTGGTGTTAGGATCTTGGTTGCAATGATTTGTGTAGCTAGAACCCCCTTGACTTGTTTCTGCATCTCTTGCACGCCTCTTTCGCACAACATCTCTTTTTTCCGATGTCCAAAAATATTTTGAATTCGAAGATAGTCTTACTAGAGACTTGCTCATAGTGTCACGATCTGCTTGAGCCATCCTTTCTTCTCTAAGCATTTCATTTTCTCGATGAAGTGCTTGTCTAACCAGCTTGTTCTCTCGATTAATTATTTCTCTTTGTCTCTCAGCCGCCGCATCACAAGCCTCAGTAGCCGCTATTATTGCTGCTATAGCATCAACTTTTTCCTCATCTCTAGCCTTTTCCCGTGCCATGTTCAGTTCACCTTGGCGAGCAAGTTCCTCCATATATTTAGTGTAGTCATTTTTGGAAGAACTACCTTTTTTCTTTGATTCCCTTTTACCTTGAGGCCTGAGGGACTAACGAGTCGGTTGGGTCTCGGACACTTGTTCAGGCGTCCCTTCCTTGTCAAATGTCTCGGCTTCTTGTTCGGCTATGTTTGGTTTTGGCGAACTATGTAGACCCATGCCATGCATGACAACTTCTGGACCGGTTGCCACAATTTTGTATTTAGGGCAATCTTTGACAATTTCCCAACATTTCCATTTGTTGAATGATTTGTTCTGGTTCTTTGAATTGTAGAATGCTTGAGCTTGTAGTGTCTATAAAAATGTGGGATAAGATAGTGTTAAAAAATGCGGGTGTAACACAAATAAATAAATTAAAATCTTGATGCAGGTGGAATGCATATAAATTACATAAAAATGACATAAGAAATTAAATTAAAATTACATAATTAAATAAATTAAAATTTTGATGCGGGTGGAATGCATATAAAAATTACATAAGAAATAACATAAAAATTACATACGAAATTAAATAAATTATTGATGTGGGTGGAATGCATATAAATAAATAAAAATATTGTCACCTGATCCGCTAAACTTGCCCCACTACGCAAGTTACCAGAAGCATGAGAGATGGCGTTTTTCCAACAAGTAAAGGATGCGTTGAGTTTTTTCCAATGACCTTGAAGACCTTGACTAGTTTTGGCGTCTTTTCCATGTACATCGCAAAACGCTTTCGTAATTTTACTCCACATTTCTCGCTTATCCATCTCATTACCTGTAATTGGGTCATGGTAGTGTGAACCCAACATTCACACAATGTAACATCTTCGATGAGCTTCCACGAAGACATTTTCTCTCTTAAAGTGTAGAAAATATTGAAATGTAGATAGTATAGAAAGTGTAGAAAATATTGAAATGTGGTGTAAGGTAGAAGATGAGGGTTAGGTATTTATAGAAAAAAATAATTTTTTTTTTGATAAATTTTATGTATTTTTTAATAATTTTTCTGTATTTTTTCATAATTTTTAATAAATTTTAATATAGTTAATTAATCTGGACCGTTGGATTTGAAAATATTCAAATCCAAGAGCCAAGGAGTTGCCACGTGGCCAACGGTCATATTTCTGACCGTTGGGCCTTTTTTTATTATTTTTATTTTAATTTTTTATGAAAAAACGTGGACCGTTGATCTGTGATCGGACGATGCATTTTAAAAGTCAAATTTAAAAATTTTTACCATTGGAAATCCAATGGTTTACAAAAATTAGCCGTTGGAAATCCAACGGCACTAAGGAGGACCACGTAGCTCTAATCCGGATGAACACAAGCGGGCCCCGTCACTTGCACCCTTGTCTCCTACTCACGCCCAGTCATAAGTGTGCTGCACGCGCCAGCCAAATAGGCCGGCCTCTGGGTCTATTTGAAATGGGCTGGTTTGCTGCCTGGCTTGGGCTGGGTGCCAGGCTGTTTTGCGGGTTGGAGCAGATTGATAAGGTGCTAGGCTGATTTTTGAACAGGGTGCCGGGCAATGAAGCGTCCGGTGAACTTGCTCTAAGCTTAGCATCTATTTGCATAGCTATAGCTATAGCATCATGGACGGTAGAGGATTTCAATAAATTCACATCATACTTCAAATCATGCTTCAAACCTACCAAAAAACAACTCTTAAGTAAAATTGGTCCAACATCAGAAGATCTATTGGCTTGTGAAATTCCATGATTAATTTACTGTGCACGGTGGGCGTAGTTTGAACAAAGCCTTAGTGCTATCTTCAAACATAAAAAGCCCAAATTCCTGACAGAAAGCTTTGGTGAATTCCTCCCAACTAGGCGAGCTCTGCAAACAATCACTCTATCGAAACCACTGCAAGGCTTCATGCTCCAAATGAAAAGAAACCGTGAGCACCTTCTGGTAATCTTGTGTGTCATAATATGAAAAGTACTGCCCCGCTTTATATATCCATGCCACAGGCTCATCACCATCAAAGAAATGAGGGAAATCCAATTTGTGCTGCCATTGAAGACGATTTGGTTGAACTCCAGGATCACAGATCTCGCAACCTAGATCTTGATTGTAGCCATTTCAGAGTCTTAGGATGCTGATGACCAGTATTATGTGGATTTGGATCATCCGTTGGAGGAACCAACTCCGACGAGGAACTCCATCCCCCCTTAAAATTGAGCTCACGCCGAAACTGAGGAACCATTTCCATGGAAGATTCGAGTGTAGCAAGATGACCGTCCATGCCTGTGAAACGAGTCGTGGTTGTGTGGCGAGGCATACATGAAGGGAAATCAGGAATCAAAGGATGATACCAATGAATCCAAGATCCAATTCCTAATTCAACCTTAAGTAGCAGCAAGATCAAGGTGGGTTCGATTTTATTCGGTTCGGTTCAATTTTCTCTTGGTCTTTTGTTCAGTTTTTTTTTTTTTTTTTTAAGTTTGGATTGGTAGACTAATAGTAAAATAATGGAGAAATTGGGAAGGTAATTGTATATATACAATTTTATTTTATCAACAATCTTAATTACAAAGAAAATGACCGTATCCATTCTAAAAACAAACAAATAAAGAAACTCTTCAAAGTTCCAAAGTTATCCAAAACTTTCTTCTATAACCAATGGAATATCCTTCATAATTGAACCAAGTATGTTCCTTGAAAGGGCCTTAAGCTTAATTTCAAACTTGGTAACAAAGTTTCACAAAGAAACATCATGGGCATAAATTCATAAGGTGTAAAGGGATTTGGTTTGATTCGGTTTCCAAACCTCTAAAATCGAAACCGAATCAATAAAGTTTGGTTTGGTTCGGTTTTTCCTTTTTCGATTCAGTTTTTTGTTTTGTTTTTCGGTTTCGATTTGGTGTTCAGTCTCCTTTTTGTTTGTTTTCGATTTTTTGAACCCACGCCTAAGCAAGATCATAGATGACGGATGAGAGGAAGGAAGAAGAAGATGGAGCTGAGCTCCCAATTCCGGAATATTATTTTTTTACTAAAATGCGTGTTGCATTCCCACCAACTGTAAGAGCACTTATAAAACTCGAGTATACATTTTCTGCCCGCTAGCAATTCCTAACAACCTTAACTAATCACCTATTAGGTCCTGATTAATCCCACATTAAGTGATTAAGCTAATCACTCATTACAATCATATCATGCGGCAATACGATGAATTGGAATCAAGGAAGTCATGAAATCGGGATGGTGATTGGTTTTTACGGGTAAATCAAAGCGAGTCAGCATTATAATAGTCAAATATAGAACTTATCATTCGTTTGTTTGAGTTTAGTTCGAAATCTGTGACTTGAAAAATGAAGAAAAAGAAGACAAAATGTCAAAGTGACATTGTTATGTTTGGAAAGGGAACACGCACCAAAAGATTGGCTGCGTTGTAATATGGGGCACGCAACGCAACCCATCATTTGGACAGAGAGCACATATAAGTGTATGTGGGATCCAAATTGGAGTGGGGACAGAAACTTGTGGTCCGCTGATGAAAGGAATGTCAAGCATCAGGGCCCTTCAATTTCATGCCAGGAGAAACTGCGTGGAAACTTTCCCCGCTAGGCCAGATTTGACAAATATAACTGATTAGGATAACCCCAAAATGAAAAATAACGCTTCTGATTAACAACACCACCACCACCACCACCAAATCTAAGTGAGGTCGGCTATATGAATCCTAGAACACTTCTGATTAACAAAAGTTAAATAATCTTGTAGCTCATGCAGTTACCAGGCTTAATATGCGTTTGATGAAATAAAATACAACACTGCAAATTATAATGCCTCCTAAATTGTTGTTAGAAAGGAATCATCTTCATCGTGTATAATAACCAACTATACATGGTCTATAAATCTTGTATCTAAAGTTAAAACAAATTTCTTCAGTTAATGTTATTCACCAATGAAGAATTTCTCTGATGAGAACATTTGCCCTTCAAGTTAAATCAGGCTATAGTTTCCATTCAGTTAAAATTTCCGTGGTTTTTCTTTTTTTCCCGTCTTCCAGTGACTAATTTTGTGGGTTCAGTATGCAATTCAAAGAATGAAAGAACCTGCAGCTTGATACGCTTACAAAGAACACGAATCTGCATGATAACCCATCCTTGATGCTGCCAAGGGATCATATTCATTCATTTTTGAACAAGCTTGATGGAACCTGAAAGGAGAATATTATCACAACTTTCAGAAAACAGAGCACAGATATCTCAAGAGTTCAAATCTAATAGTTAGTCTCAATGGTGAAATCTAGCCTCTACATATGAAGAAAGGATTGGCTCAAGGAATCAACAAAAGATATCCAAAATATCCAATCTTATTGAAATGAAGAGTGGGTCGTCAAAAACACAAATAGATTTTCTTCTAATGAGGAAAGGGGATCGTATAACTTGTAAGGATTGCAAAGTTATACCAGGAGAGAGCGTGGTTAATCAACATCGCTTGTTGGTGATGGATGTACATATCAAAAGAGGGAGACAAAAGAACAAGACTTGGAAGTGCCCAAGGACTAGATGGTGGAATCTAAAAGAAGAAAAACAAGCCATTTTCAAAGAGAAGGTAATCACCCAATGTGTGTGGGATAGAGAGGGGGAAGCTAGCCAAATGTGGGATTCCATGGCTAGTTGTATCCGAAAAGTAGCAAAAGAGGTATTAGGAGAGTCCAAGGGCTTTGCCCCACACCAAAAGGAATCTTGGTGGTGGAATGAGGAGGTACAAACAAAGGTGAAGGCTAAGAAGGAATGTTGTAAAGCCTTATACAAGGAGAGGACCGATGAAAAATGGTGAAAGGTATAGAAAAGCGAAGCAAGAGGCGAAGAAAGCGGTCAGAGAAGCTAAGTTAGCGGCTTACGACGATATGTATAAACGACTAGATACCAAAGAAGGAGAGTTGGATATCTATAAACTAGCTAGAGCAAGGGAAAAAGAAGACAAGGGACCTAAACCAAGTGAGGTGCATCAAGGATGAGGATGGAAAGGTTCTTGCTACAGAGAACGCGGTTAAAGACAGATGGAGAGGTTATTTTCATAATCTTTTTTCAATGAAGGACATGAAAGGAGTGCTTCTTTAGGGGAGTTGAGTAACTCAGAAGAGTGTGGAAACTACTCTTTTTATCGTCGAATCCGGAAGGAAGAAGTGGTTGTAGCTTTGAAGAAGATGAAGCATAGAAAAGCAATAGGCCCAGACGATATACCAATCGAAGTGTGGAAAGTTTTGGGAGAGACAGGTATAACATGGCTCACTGACCTTTTCAATAGGATTTTGAAAACGAAGAAGATGCCAAATGAGTGGCGAACGAGCACTTTGGTGCCTATCTACAAGAATAAGGGCGACGTACAAAATTGCATGAACTATAGGGGTATTAAGTTAATGAGTCATACAATGAAGCTATGGGAGAGTCATTGAGCATAGATTGAGGCAAGAGACACGGGTTTCGGACAACCAATTCGGGTTCATGCCAGGGCGCTCAACCATGGAGGCAATCTATCTCTTACGAAGATTGATGGAAAGATATAGAGATGGGAAAAAGGATTTACACATGGTCTTTATAGATTTGGAAAAAGCGTATGATAGGGTCCCAAGAGACATTCTTTGGAGGATCTTAGAGAAGAAAGGAGTACGAGTAGCATACATCCAAGCTATAAAGGATATGTATGAAGGAGCAGCAAGACTGCCGTAAGAACTCATGAAGGACAAAACCGAAAGCTTTCCCATAACTGTAGGATTACATCAAGGCTCATCCTTAAGTCCTTACCTTTTTTGCGTTGGTAATGGATGAGTTAACAGGACATATTCAAGATGATATTCCTTGGTGTATGCTTTTCGCAGACGATATAGTGTTGATAGATGAAACTCAGGAAGGGGTAAATGCAAAGCTTAACCTTTGGAGAGAAGTGTTGGAATCTAAAGGTCTTCGCCTAAGCCGATCAAAGACAAAATATATGGAGTGCAAGTTCAGTGCAGATGGAGGCCAAAACGAGTTAGGGGTGAGGATCGGAGATCAAGAAATACCAAAGAGCGACCGTTTTCGTTACCTAGGATCTATCTTGCAAAAGAACGGAGAATTAGATGGAGATCTCAACCATAGAATACAAGCTGGATGGATGAAGTGGAAGAGTGCATCTGGCGTGTTGTGTGACCGCTGTATGCCACTGAAGCTCAAGGGAAAATTTTATAGGACTGCAATAAGGCCGGCGATGTTGTATGGCACAGAATGTTGGGCGGTGAAGCATCAACACGTACACAAAATGGGTGTAGTGGAGATGAGGATGCTTCGTTGGATGTGTGGGCACACGAGAAAGGATAAGATTAGGAATGAGGATATCCGGGGTAAAGTAGGAGTAGCCGAAATTGAAGGAAAGATGAGAGAAAATCGGTTACGGTGGTTTGGACATGTGCAAAGAAGGCCTACTGACGCTTCGATTAGAAGATGCGACTATGGGACAGAGGCTCAGGGCCGAAGGGGTAGAGGAAGACCTAGGAAAACTTTGGAAGAGACTCTAAGAAAAGACTTAGAGTACTTGGATTTAACGAAGGACATGACACAGGACCGAGCACAAATGGCGTTCTAAGATTCATATAGCCGATCCCACTCAGTGACTTGGATTTTCCAAGTCTCCAACCGAGAAGTTTTCCTCACTCGAAAAATTCAGGGAACACTACCCCAACCTACATGCTCCACTCAGAAAGCTTCAACATACAAGCTTCAACAAAAGAAAATTCAAAGAACTTAGCGAAGAAGGCTTTGGTGTATTTAACACAATACGTTGAAATGAAGGAAAACTTATTTATTGATATCCCCGATAAGCTACAAATATGTACATATACATGAGTCAAAATAAACAAACAAGATGGAGCCTTCACAAAGGTTACTTAGGAGAAGTCTCAGCAGTCGGTAGAGCCCCAGAAAGAGAAGGCATCGGAGAGGGATCATTCGGAGCCTCAGTACTGGACAAAACCCTAGAAGGAGGAGGCATCAGAGGTTGATCATTTGGAGCTTCATTATGCGGTACAGCCCCAGAAGACGAAGGCAATAAATGCCTTTGGAACAAAACCCACAAATCTCTGATGATCAAGTAAAACCTGACCATCAGTTTCCTTCATCTGGTCAAGCTTCCTCTTCATGTTTGTAGCATAGTCATGTGCGAGCCGGTGCAACTGTTTATTCTCATGCTTGAGCCCTCTAATCTCCTGTTTGAGACTCATCACTTCGGCCGCCAATGATTCAACTTGGCGGGTTCGAGCAAATAGGCGTTGGGCCATATTAGACACAGAACCTGCACACTGAAACACTGAGAGCCAGTGAATCCTTAACAGCTAACTCATCAGACCGTTTGTAAAGTAGTCTGTTATCTTTGGGAGTGAGAAGGTTCCTGGCCACCACCGCAGCGGTCATATCATTCTTCATCACGGAATCCCCAACGGTAAGAGGACCAGTAGAGGAGACGAAGGATGGGCGCCATATGTTGTCTGGAGAAGGCGGGGCTGCCTCCTCAACAAGGTTCAAGTCAAAACGACGGTCGGAGGGGCCAGACATTTTCAAAGGTATTGAAGAGAGAAGAGGTCGGACAAATCAAGATCTTAGAAGTGCAAGAATGGAGCTTCTACTGGTGGAGATTCAAGTGTACTTTGGAACTTAATGCCAGCCCCTATAAAAAAGCTGCACTCGACGGAGCTTCAGACATCGAAGAGGCGCCTGCTCAGAAATCGAAGAGGCGTTTGCTTTCTCAAAAGCTGGGCTGCTTAGAGACCACGAGGGTTGATCTCATAAATCGAAGAGGTGTTTGCTTTCTCAAAAGTTGGGCTGCTCAAAGACCACGAAGGTCGATCTCAGAAATCGAAGAGGCGCTCGCTTCCTCAAATGCTGGGCTCGTCAGAGACCACGAGGGCCGATCTCAGAAATCGAAGAGGCACCTACTTTTCCAGCCTTGTCAGCACCTGTCACACGCACACTCAGCTTTGCGGAAATTATGGGTATTCTGTCGAAGACTTCTGGGGAAGTAGAAAACACATGAATCTTACTGTCCAATCACCCACTTCCCACACGCAGCAATAGCTCATGGGTACCACAGATAACTTTGCCAAAGTTCTCTGCCAAAGTTGAGCACGTGAAGCTTGCAGCTCCCACTACATCGCTCTGACCAAGAAGGGTAAAAGAATAGCAAAGAAACAGCACTAACAAAGTTTAGACCCATAAATTTTGAAGGTCTAGCTACCATATTATTACCCACAAGGGTAAAGGAACAGTACCACTGTTGGATAATTGGAAAGTCCCTGTGTGTCAACCTCTGTGCCTCGTGGCAAGGTAGACTAGCAAACATGCCCAACCTTTACTCACATTCGAGAAAACATTCCCAATAAGATTGCTTGCTCCAAAATCGAAGAGGCACCGTCCTCCGAATCTCGAGAGCCAGACTCCCAACATGACTACTTTCTCAAAAATCGAAGAGAGGGTAAAGGAACAGTACCATTGCTGGATAATTGAAGTCCCTGTGTGTCAACCTCTGTGCTTCGTGGCAAGGTAGACTAGCAAACATGCCCAACCTTTACTCACATTCGAGAAAACACTCCCAACAAGATTGCTTGCTCCAAAATCGAAGAGGCACCGCCCTCCGAATCTCGAGAGCCAGACTCCCAACATGATTACTTTCTCAAAAATCGAAGAGACACTGCTCCCCGAATCTCGAGAGCCAGACCCCAGCATGATTGCTTTCTCAAAAATCGAAGAGGCATCGTTCTCCGAATCAATTGAAGAGGCGCTCGCTTTCTCAAAAGCTGGGCTGCTCAGAGACCACGAGGGCCGATCTCAGAAATCGAAGAGGCACCTTCTTTTCTAGCCTTGTCAGCACCTGTCACACGCACACTCAGCTTTGCGGAAATTATGGGCATTCTGTCGAAGACTTCTGGTGAAGTACAAAGCACATGAATCTTACTGTTCAATCACCCACTTCCCACACGCAACAATAGCTCATGGGTACCACAGATAACTTTGTCAAAGTCTCTGCCAAAGTTGAGCACGTGAAGCTTGCAGCTCCCACTACATCGCTCTGACCAAGAAAGGTAAAAGAATAGCAAAGAAACAGCACTAACAAAGTTTAGACACATAAATTTTGAAGGTCTAGCTATCATATTATTACGCACAAGGGTAAAGGAACAGTACCACTGCTGGATAATTGGAAAGTCCCTGTGTGTCAACCTCCGTGCTTCGTGGCAAGGTAGACTAGCAAACATGCCCAACCTTTACTCACATCCGAGAAAAACACTCCCAACAAGATTGCTTACTCCAAAATCGAAGAGGCACCGCCTTCCGAATCTCGAGAGCCAGACTCCCAACATGATTACTTTCTCAAAAATCGAAGAGACACTGCTCCCCGAATCTCGAGAGCCAGACCCCCACCATGATTGCTTTCTCAAAAATCGAAGAAGCATCGTTCTCCGAATCTCGAGAGCCAGATACCACATACCACTTTTTCAAAGTGCTCTGACAGAGTTAAAAACATGTGAAGCTGGCAGCTCCCACTACCGTGCTATGACCAAGCAGGGTAAAGGAATAGCATTACTACTTGTTGTTAGGGAGACTCCTATATATGTCGACCTCCATCCCCAACGGACAGGCAGACCTGCAAAAATGCTCAACCCTTCCTCATATCTGAGAGGGCACTCCCAACGAAGCCTTTCGAAATATTCAGCTTTCTTTCCCCCCGATAATACCTCTGCAAACAAGCTATACTAGAGCAAGAATATCTCATATATCATCAGGGTTAAAAGCAAGAGTATCCCATATCATGCTTTTTCTCTGTCTTTTCCTTTGGCCTTGTTTTTACCTGCAAGACAAGGAGAAAGAGAGCAATCAGTCAGCACTTGAAATCAAGCTCCCAGCCAGGAACTGACAGCCTGGAACCCCTTACCTGATTACTTACCTGGCATTGCTCTCGAGTACTCATCTTCAACATCTTATGTTGCCAGGGAAGATACCGCATCTGCTTGAGGAACAGATAGGGCAAGTGCGAAGGATACAAGGAAGCATGTGGAGACAAGCGTAACAGCACACGTGCCGATCCATCCATTACTCTGTCAAAAAGCAAAAGTATCCCATATCAGCAGGGTCGAACGTACTCTAGATTTGATGGACTTGTTTTTGACCCTCAAATTCTTCAGTCGGCCTTATACTCTGGAGGAAACCAGAAAACCCTCCAGCTCAGTTCAAGAATAAGCCTGTGGAAAGTTACTTCTTCAAAAGCAAAAGTATCCCATATCATCTCTTCTCATTTTTCTTCTCTTTATCCTTCATGCTGCTGCAAGATGGGGAGAAGGTGAACAATCAGCCGGAGCTCTGATTGCTTACCTTGTCTGTCACCTCTTTCAGCAAATCCCCTAGCTCGGCGACTTGGGGGACTCCTACTACATGGTTTGTATCGCGCTTGACCAAGCCTGAAACTACAAGTAAGCTTCAAGTGAAATTGATACATTACCTTGTGCATCTCCACCAGTTAAAAGATACCACCCCTGGATGGAGGAAGAGTACTTCCAGAGAAGCTGCCACATCTACCTATGAGACAGATAAGGCAAGTCAAGATGATACCACACTCCGATACTTAGAAGTTTCGTGATTACGAGATCATTCTCCCACAATATTTCCTAATGTCATTTGTACTCTAATGTCATTTGCACTAAATCATTCACTTGTACTCACTAAAGGAGAGCTTGAACCTATGTACTTGTGTAAACCCTTCACAATTAATGAGAACTCTTCTATTCCGTGGACGTAGCCAATCTGGGTGAACCACGTACATCTTGTGTTTGCTTTCCTATCTCTATCCATTTATATACTTATCCACACTAATGACCGGAGCAATTTAGCGAAGATCACAAAAAACGACCGTTTTCGCTACCTAGGATCTATCTTACAAGAGAACAGAGAATTAGATGGAGATCTCAACCATAGAATACGAGCTGGATGGATGAAGTGTAAGAGTGCATCCAGCATGTTATGTGACCGTCGTAGGCCACTGAAGCTCAAGGGAAAATTTTATAAGACGGCAATAAGGCCAGCGATGTTGTATGGCACAGAATGTTGGGCGGTGAAACATCAACACGTACACAAAATGGGTGTAGCAGAGATGAGTATGCTTCGTGGGATGTGTGGGCACACGAGAAAGGATAAGATTGAGAATGAGGATATCCGAGGTAAAGTAGGAGTAGCCGAAATTGAAGGAAAGATGAGAGAAAATCGGTTCCGGTGATTTGGACATGTGCAAAGAAGGCCGACTGACGCTCCGGTTCGAAGATGTGACTACGGGACAGAGGTTCAGGGCCGAAGAGGTAGAGGAAGACCTAGGAAAACTTTGGAAGAGACTCTAAGAAAAGGCTTAGAGTACTTGGATCTAACGGAGGACATGACACAAACCGAGCGCAATGGCGTTCTAGGATTCATATAGCCGACCCCACTTAGTGGGAAAAGGCTTTGTTGTTGTTGTTGTTGTATTGAAATGAAGAGAAGAATATCAAAATCTACAAAGAAAAGATGTGTTTTATATGTTGAGAAATTAGCCATATTACGTTAATCTCCCACCACCCCCCCTGCTGTTATATTAAGTTTAGGTGTTTAATGTGAGAACGTATTTGATATACACCGACAAAGTCCAGATGAGCTCCCAGCAGTAGGCAAGCACATTACTAAGAATTGATTTTCTACAAAATTTGGTTTGAAACTTGAAAAAGGAGACCACAAATAGAGTGGTAACATGAGCAAATGGTGGGTTATAAAATATGAAAGTTGAACAAGCATTTGCCGTAAAAATACTTGTACAGTGATTCAAATTTTATCGCATCTATGATATATATCAATCCAGCATAATATGGAATTTCTGGGTCTGACCCATCTTTCTTTTCTATTATATCAAAATTTGAAAAAACTATAGTGGCTGATTGTGCTACAACAGAAATGAATGGGAAGTTTTCTGAAACTCTATCTACTCAGTTAATCTCTGGAGGCATCTCACCGAGGAGTGTGGTTTTTTAACAGATACTACAGTTTACATTTTTTAATCCAGTATTATTTGAAAATTTAGTGTCCGGCATACCTTCACATGATGTGGCATAATCTTAATATCGAAGGGCACATGGAGCCATGCTTCAGGTGGATAGAGCAAAAAATTCTCTGGCTTACTGGTATAGACATCTGCATACTGATGAATGTGATAGGCAAAAGCAGATTCCTGACCTTTATCCGTAAGAAATGTGGCCCCAAAGGACCTATTAAACATTCTTTTCATCTTGTGACTTGCCTCCTGCCTCCATTCATTTAACTCCTCCAACAGTGACGTGTAAGCTTCCCTCTTCTGAGTAAAAGCAACAGTAGCGTGCAATCTACCAAGCAATTCTTGTACTATATGAAATTTTGCCTGTGCCCAGAAAGAAGTTTCAGAAGCATGAAAATTACCTGACAACTTTGAATAGACGGAACCCTTCTTATGAGCTTAGAGGATAAGGTAATGTACATTTGATCACCATATGTGAGCACTGCGTGTTGTCAATCCAAAGTAGTTGGGTGTACAAACATCAAGAAATAAAAATAGCAACACCAACGAAAAACAAAAAAAAATAAACAAAATGAGAAAGATCATCAGAAAATACCTGTTCCAAGCGGTAAGTATCCTTGTTTTGAATAAGTATTTCATCCTGCAAAAAACAGAACATATCAATGGAAAAACAATCCACAAAATGGTTCAGACTTTCAAATTGAAATGTCCAAAAACAAAGGAATTCGCATGATCCTTTTTGCCCATTGACATGGATACATGAAACATTGACTAAATTAGATGTAAAGTTTGAATCAAGTAATTAAGAAACAACACCCATAAGTATAAAAATTGTCCCTTTTAATTGAACCGAAGTCTATGAACAATCAGGTCTGATTTTGAAGAAGAAACAAATTTTCATTGCAAAGAAACAATAAAAATACAAGAGCGGACAAGAAGTCCGCAAAAGCACAAACAAAACAGGATAATTAGCAACATCACCATGACACTTGGAAACTCTGAAAACAACACAAAACTAACTAATAGCAGCATTCTAATTACGTCAAATTTCTGAAACAGACAAACAACAACAACAAAGTCTTTTCCCACTAAGTGGGGCCGGCTATTAAATTTCTGAAAAAGGCAAATCTCTAAATTATGTAGTAACCGATGCCCACAGAGATGACCATAACCGAACTTTATCCCAAAGATTCTCCCTTCTACTGACTTCGTAGTCCTAAAAAATAAGCTTGTTTCTTTCCATCCAAATGACCCTTGTTGATGCACAAAACCGGAGGTCTTGGAACAACATAAATCCGACCATGAATATGCAAGAAATGTAAATAACACAAGATGTATCGTGGTTCACCCCAAGGTTTGGGTTACGTCCACACTGATTATATTTATATGAGAGTATTTGTGAGGGAGAGAGTGTGAGAGCTTTGCTCTAGAGAGGAGAGACTTAGGGTTTGTGAGGGTGAGGAGGCCCTTTTATAGAATAAGGGCTCCTCCCCTAATTACATATTTGCCCTTTCCTTTATTATATAATTACATTTAAGTCCTCCGAGTATTTATACGAGGTCTAAATACGAGGCCCTAAATATGGTATAAACAGTAGTCCCCCAAGTCTTCAGTCAAGAGAGTCTTTTAGCTGGAGACTTGAAATTCAGTCCATGTGTGGGCCGAAGTAGCTAGATGCTGTCTTGAACTGATGTTCGATATGAGGCAGTGCTTAATCTGAAATGACGCTCAACTAGAAGTAGCACACGTTGCGAGGCTGCTCGGCTCGTGGCTTATGTTGCCTTGGTTGGCTCGGCTTGCGGTGTTTGAAGGTGAGGGAGTCCCTTTTATAGATAGAATAAGGGCTCGCTCCTCAATACATGAATGATGGGCTAGAGTTGATGCTCTCTAATGGTGGTAAGGGAGTCCCTTTTATAGAATAAGGGCTCGCTCCTCAATACATAAGTAATGGGCTAGAGTTGATGCTCGCAGCAAGGCGGTTGCTCAGTAGGCGGCGATGCTCTCTAATGGTGATGAAGGAGTCCCTTTTATAGAATAAGGGGTCGCTCCTCAATACATAAATGATGGGCTAGGAGTGATGCTCGCGGTGAGGCGGTTGCTCAACTGGCGGCGATGCTCTCTAATGGTGATGAGGGGGGCCCTTTTATAAAATAAGGGCTCGCTCCTCAGTACATAAATAATGGGTGCTCTTTAATGAAAGTGAGGGAGTCCTTTTTATAGAATAAGGGCTCGGTCCTTAATACATAAATAATGGGCTAAATCCCCAAGTATTTTTCATGAGGCCCAGTTGAGGCCCAATATATGGTACATAATGTAGTTCCCCAAGTCTTCGGTCAATAGAGTCTGTTGGCTGGAGACTTCAAATTGAATCCATGTATGGGCCGAAGTGGCGGTTGTTCGGAGGTGGTATTTGTATACCCTGCACTGAAGCTTTGTAGGTGAAGCTTTGCAAGTGAAGCTTTGAAGTTAGAGCTCTGTAAATGAAGCTTTTGAAGCTGATTGTCATGAGTGATGCTCATGAATGTTTATGTTGATTGACATGAGTGATGCTCATGAATGTTGACATGAGTGATGCTATGTTGACATGAATAATGGTTATGAATGTCTATGTATGATTGTCATGAGTGATGCTCATGAATGTTTATGTATGAATGACATGAGTAATGCTCATGTATAATTTGGAATACTATGCGTACTTTTGATCACCTGGTTGGTGGCATGAATGACTAGTTGCCAAATTAGAGTACGGGTTGTACATCTCGTCACTTGGTTGGTGGCAATAGCGGCCGGTTGCCGAATAATTTTGGAGTACTGGGCGTACTTTTGGTCACCTGGTTGGTGGTAATAGCGGCGGGTTGCCGAATAATTGTGGAGTACTGGGCGTACTTTTGGTCACCTGGTTGGTGGTAATAGCGGCGGGTTGCCGAATAATTGGGGAGTACTGGGCGTACTTTTGATGACCTGGTTGGTGCTATTTTGGGCTTATGGACATTCGCTCTCCACAATATGCCAGCCCATTTATTTTGGGCTTTGCCCTTTTTGTTTTTTTTTATACCCTCTGATGGGGTTTATACATATTACCCTCTACAACAACAACAATAACAACAAAGCCTTTTCCCACTAAGTGGGGTCGGCTATATGAATCCTAGAACGCCATTGCGCTCGGTTTTGTGTCATGTCTACCGTTAGATCCAAGTACTCTAAGTCTTTTCTTAGGGTCTCTTCCAAAGTTTTCCTAGGTCTTCCTCTACCCCTTCGGCCTTGAACCTCTGTCCCGTGGTCACATCTTCGAACCGGAGCGTCAGTAGGCCTTCTTTGCACATGTCCAAATCACCGTAACCGATTTTCTCTCCTCTTTCCTTCAATTTCGGCTACTCCTACTTTACCTCGGATATCCTCATTCCTAATCTTATCCTTTCTCGTGTGCCCACACATCCAACGAAACATCCTCATCTCCACTACACCTACGTGTTGATGCTTCACCGCCCAACATTCTATGCCATACAGCATTGCCGGCCTTATTGCCGTCCTATAAAATTTTCCCTTGAGCTTCAGTGGCCTACGACGGTCACACAACACGCCGGATGCACTCTTCCACTTCATCCATCCAGCTTGTATTCTATGGGTGAGATCTCCATCAAATTCTCCGTTCTTTTGCAAGATAGATCCTAAGTAGCGAAAACGGTCGCTCTTTGGTATTTCCTGATCTCCGATCCTCACCCCTAACTCATTTTGGCCTCCGTTTGCACTGAACTTGCACTCCATATATTCTGTCTTTGATCGGCTTAGGCGATGACCTTTAGATTCCAACACTTCTCTCCAAAGGTTAAGCTTCGCGTTTACCCCTTCCTGCGTATCATCTATCAACACTATATCGTTTGCAAAAAGCATACACCAAAGAATATCATCTTAAATATTAAGTTTGTGATCTTCGCTAGATTGCTCCGGTCATTAGTGTGGATAAGTATGTAAATGGATAGAGACAGGAAGCAAACACAAGATGTACGTGGTTCACCCAGATTGGCTACGTCCACGGAGTAAAGGAGTTCTCATTAATTGTGAAGGGTTTACACAGTATATAGGTTCAAGCTCTCCTTTAGTGAGTACAAGTGAATGATTTAGTACAAATGACATTAGGAAATATTGTGGAAGAATGATCTCGTAATCACGAAACTTTTTAAGTACCGAAAGTGTGGTATCGTCTTCACTTGCCTTATCTGTCTCATAGGTAGATGTGGCATCTTCTTTGGAAGTACTCTTCCTCCCTCCAGGGGTGGTATCTTTAACTGGTGGAGATGCACAAGGTAATGTATCAATTTCACTTGACGCTTACTTGTAGTTTCAGGCTTGGTCAAGCGCGATACAAACCATGTAGTAGGAGTCCCCCAAGTCGCCGAGCTAGGGGATCTGCTGAAAGAGGTGACAGACAAGGTAAGCAATCAGAGCTCCAAGCAATCAGTCCCAGATCAGAAGTTTGATTTCGAGTTCCGGCTGATTGTTATCCTTCTCCTTATCTTGCAGGTACCATGAAGGATAAAGAGAAGAAAAGGAGAAAAGGTGATATGAGATACTTTTGCTTTTGAAGAAGTAACTTTCCACAGGCTTATTCTTGAACTGGGCTGGAGGGTTTTTTTGTTTCCGCCAGAGTATAAGGCCGACTGAAGAATTTGAGGATCAAAACAAGTCCATCAAATCTAGAGTACGTTCGACCCTGCTGATATGGGATACTTTTGCTGTTGACAAAGTAGTGGATGTATTGGCACGTGTTCTGTTGCGCTTGTCTCCACATGCTTCCTTGTATCCTTCTCACTTGCCCTATTTGTTCCTCAGGCAGATGTGGTATCTTCTCGGGAAGCATAAGATGTTGAAGATGAGTGCTCGAGATCAATGGGGTTCCAGGCAGTCAGTTCCGGACTGGAAGCTTGATTCCAAGTGCTGACTGATTGCTCTCTTTCTCCTTGTCTTGCAGGTAAGAACAAGGCCAAAGGAAAAGACAGGGAAAAAGCATGATATGGGATACTCTTGCTTTTAACCCTGATGATATGAGATATTCTTGCTCTAGTGTAGCTTGTTTGCAGAGGTATTCTCGGGAGGAAAGAAAGCTGAGTATTTCGAGAGGCTTCGTTGGGAGTGCCCTCTCAGATATGAGGAAGGGTTGAGCATTTTTGCAGGTCTGCCTGTCCGTTGAGGATGGAGGTCGACATATATAGGAGTCTCACTAACAAGGAGTAATACTATTCTTTTACCCTGCTTGGTCATAGCACGGTAGTGGGAGCTGCCAGCTTCACGTGTTTTAACTCTGTCAGAGCACTTTGAAAAAGTGGTCTGTGGTATCTGGAAAGATGATGTTACGTGTAAAGATTACAGACAAGCTTTATCCAAGGAGATCTGGCTCTCGAAGTTGAGAAAGCGGTGTGAGGATTACAGACAAGCTTTATCTAAAGGGCTCTCGAAGTTGAGAAGCGGTGCCTCTTCGGTTTTCGAACAAGCAATCCTGTCGGGGATCTGTCTCTTGAGATTCGGAGAACGGTGCCCCTTCTATTTTTGAGAAAGCAATCCTGTTAGGAGTCTGGCTCTCGAGATTCAGAGCGGTGTCTCGTCGCTTTTTGAGAAAGTAATCATGTTGGGAGTCTGGCTCTCGAGATTCGGAGGACAGTGCCTCTTCGATCTTGAAGCAAGCAATCTTGTTGGGAGTGTTTTCTCGAATGTGAGTAAAGGTTAGGCCTGTTTGCTAGTCTACCTTGCCACGGAGCACAGAGGTTGACCCACAGGGACTTTCCAATTATCCAGCAATGGTCCTGTTCCTTTACCCTTGTGGGTAATAATATGGTAGCTAGACCTTCAAAATTTATGTGTCTAAACTTTGTTAGTGCTGTTTCTTTGCTATTCTTTTACCCTTCTTGGTCATAGCGATATAATGGGAGCTGCAAGCTTCACGTGTCTAAACTTTGTCAGAGATTTTTGGCAAAGTTATATGTGGTACCCGTGAGCTGATGTTGCATGTGGAAAGTGAATGATTAAACAGTAACATTCACGTGCTTTCTACTTCACTAGAAATCTTCGACAGAATGCCCGTAATTTCCGCAAAGTTGAGTGTGCATGTGACAGGTGCTGACAAGGCTGAAAAAGCAGGTGCCTCTTCGATTTCTGAGATCGGCCCTCGTGGTCTCTGAGCAGCCCAGCTTTTGAGAAAGTAAGCGCCTCTTCGATTTCTGCGATCGACCTTCGTGGTCTTTGAGCAGCCCAGCTTTTGAGAAAGCAAACGCCTCTTCGATTCCTGAGATCGGCCCTTGTGGTCTCTGAGCAGCCCAGCTTTTGAGAAAGCAAACGCCTTTTCGATTTCTGAGCAGGCGCCTCTTCGATTTCTGAAGCTCCATCGAGGGCGGATTTTTATAGAGGCTAGTATTAAGTTCCATAGAAAAACTGTTCATTGTTTATTTTTCTTATTATTGGGTAGGGAAGGGGTGGAGAGAAAAGGTTGGCCAGCTGCTCAACTGAAAATAATCAAGTTTCTCCTTCTACAGGAACAAAAAGGAAGTCTGATTTATGGATATAGCTATAGTGATAACCTGAGCAGTTATGAGCCAATAAAATTCAAAAAGTATTTATATTCATCTCACCTAACCTATCATTTACTCTGTAGCAATTTAGAGCCACTATTTCGAAATTTTTGAACCTGTAAAGTTTTCTTAGTTTTTCTTGTTATCTTTTCAATCCACTAGTGTAACAAGTAAACGAAATTAGTTCTAAAGCATTGTTCCTTGTATCAGCTATTAAGCACACCAGAGAGAATAAGAAACCATAGAGGACCTTTTTAAATAAGAAAAGTATCCTGGAATATACAGAACGAAAAGACATACTTCTAGCTCATGAATTATAGCAGCAGTGCGCCAGCCAGCTTTTGCAGGCCCCCTAAGGTCGCTAAATAGGTGGTCTCCAAAGTACATCACCTATCAAAGGGGGCGTTAGTTTAAATTTTTGAAGAATAAACTGGAACGTTATCTATCATGATATACTAATAGATAATGACATGCAAAATCATGAGTTATAAGCAATAACTTTGAAAAAAAATACATGAATAGAAGTACCTCTGGTCCCTTCCACTTGGTAATATGAAGGAAGGATTTAAGGCATCCATGGTAATATATTTTATTAGGAAGAAATTCATCCACCTTCTTGAAAGCTAAATTATCCTTCTCCGTGTCATAGAAACTGCATTGAAGTTCCAGAAAACAAGGTGCAAGATAAAACAACAAAAGATGATAGCTTAGCTCTTTCTAGGGTAACTAAGATATTAAAACTCCGGTAAAAAGGACACCAAAGAAAATAAAATCACAACAAAAGTGGGTGAAGAAAGTATTTGGTACAGATTTAGCATTTCCATGGTGCACAACATACGGTACAGGAATCCCACGTCTTTGAAGCTAAACTTTATAAAATGGGGATAGACAAAGTGTTGAAGATACAAACCGGAATGGATGCTCAGATGTGTAGAAATCTGGCTTATTGGCTTTAGCAATCACAACATCAAAAAGTTCCCTCCAGGAGTCTCTGTATTCCTTAGAATCCTAAGAACATGTCACAATCAACTCAGTAAACTTAATATCGATAGCTCACAAACTTACAGATAACCAAAAGATCAAGCTAACCTAGACAGACACACATGACACATGCATGCACACACACAAGCTCTCTTAGTTAGCACCCGTTTTACAGAACCAACCACTAAATCTAATTTTTATTCATAAACATCATACACAGATTTTCAAATTAACTGGATACACATAAATACATCCCCAATCTCATAATAGTTCAATGATGAGAGGGAATATCTACACATATCCGGTTCATTCCAAAATTCGCCTCAATAAATAGAAAGGCTGCATATGTACAAGATCATAAATTAGTAATTACTCATCACAGGGTAAGATGCTACAAGTGGTAGTGGTAGAATTTTGAGTTAGTTGACTAACCTCCAACATAAAGGTCATTCCTCCATCCACAAAGTAATATGGAGAGTTAGTCAGCAAGAATAGTTTCTTTCCCTTCTCCCTGAGCATCTTGAGAAAGTGTAACAGTTGTCCCTAAGAAATAGTAAGATCAAACTAGAAACTTAGAGATGCTACAGTGGTTTTACCCTCATATATGCAGCCAGAAATATTAGCATGAGTTGAACACCTCATCTTTCCACAATATACTCATAAAATGTGGCATGGCTTACATTTTTTACTAGATATCTATGGGGGTCAGAAAGAATTCCTCTATGAACCAAGCCACTGCGATGAACATGCTGAATTGCACGATTTACATCTTGATAGATGTAGCAAGCATCAAATTCCAGCTTAGCATCAACAAAATATTGCACGATATCTGAAATGAGGCATGCCTGCATAGTAACAATTGAAACAAACATCGATGGGTTAGAAGGAAAACAAATTATTCAGATAACCGCTAAAAAGAATGATAGTTTCCAAATAGGAATTTTCTCTTGGTCACTAGTGACCAAAGAATGGATGGTCACTCAAACTTGGATTTGATATTAAGGGTGGAGAATAGATTAGTGTTTCAGTCTCAACTCTTGATATCAAATCCAAGGGTGGGTAAGCATGAATCCTTAGACACCAAGCGACTGGGAGAACGTGACTCGGTTTTCAAAACAAGGAATATCTGTAAAAAGGAAGATGAGAGTATAGACCACTTATTTCTTCACAGCTTTGGAAACTAATGTATTGCTGGAAATATCTGAATTGAGCATAACATGCATGTGGAAAAAGTATTTTGCATTTGGAGGGGTAAAAGAGAAAACTATTTTGGAAGTGTTGTGTGACGCCATTGCCTGGGTGTTATAGATGGAAAGGAATGAACAAATTTTCAAGATTATGGGGAGGTAGGAACTGGAGGTATGTAGGACAGAATGCAATAGGCCATCATTGTGGGCTTCAATTCTGTAAGCATTTCGGGATATGTCATTCTTTCTATCATGCAGATTGAAATATGGTGGTATCTTAATTTTTCTTTGTGATTAACTCAACTGTTATGAATATATTTCAGTTTTATCGGCAGGTTTGGTTCAGGATTCTGCACGCCTTATGGGGACTGACAGCTTGTCCACTAAATTTGTACTTCTAAAATCTGTGTTCAAACCGAAAAGAAGAATAAAGTGATAAGTTCCCTGTCCTAACTCAACTCCTTTCACCTGTCTTACCAAATGTCTGCCTATATGGGCCAAAGAAATTACTAATATTAATACAGTTTACCCACAAAACTTGCCAAATCCCCAAATTTTTTTTCTTTCAGAAGATGCATATAGGAGATGTCTATTTGTAAAAATGTTTCAGTGGACGAATGTTAATATCAGCCCATACATGCATGAATCTTATTAAAAAAATTGCATAACTAACCTCGCTAAAGCAAAAGAAATCCATCAACCCAACAAGTCCCCGGGCCTGATCACGACCAATACGTCGTGTGCCATATATTTCTTCAATTTCCCTCCTGCTAAGCTGAATTTCATTTCCAAAAAGAGAATAAAAAAATCTAAAAACAGATTATGAGTATCGAAATCTATTAGTCTATATAAGTTCATGGAGCAATGAAATAATAATTTTGCCAAATTTTCACAAGGACAAAAGCCTAAACTCTAATTTGTACTATATACATAAACATAACCAGTGTCCAATCATTCATGATTCATATAACATGACAACGAAGTAGATTGTACTATTTGGACAGAAGAAAAGTACTTTGCCTTAAGCATTGGATACTCATTCAGATTTATTGTGAAAGCCACTGTTGTCTGTTAATATCATTAAAATTCTCATATCTGAGTTCTTTTTCCTTTTCCATATGTGGGAGCCAACGAAAATGTAGCTCATAACCTAGGGCAGGCACAAGTATGAAGAAAATACCTCCATAAAAAAACTTTCAGTTCTAGAAAGCAATAGACCATAATCAGAACATATAAGTTCATATATTTAGTTCTTAAGTACCTTACGACGACCATAGTAGCATCCATCTGGCTCAATTGACCCAAAAAAATCCAGCTTCAATAGGCACCCTTTTAGCTTATCATAATACAATCCTCTAATGGGAAAAGTCGAATCATACTTAAATGCCATGCAAACCTCAGGGTACCGAAACTGACAAATCACAAACAATCATATCTAATTACAGAGTTTACGTGTAAACCATAGCCCCATGATATTATATCGACATTGCTCAATGGGAGTAAACTAACCTCATTTACCATATGCTCCTTTGCCAGATCATATATCAAGCTCTGTAAATTGGCAGAATAATGTACCAGCGTGTAATCATAGTCAAATCCATAAACTTGAATATTGTCCAATCTCAGGTTTTTATTTACATATATCCCTAATTTCAACACATGACATTAATCAATATTACAATTGACATGAGTAATGAAGCTTCAACCGAGTAACAAGAGTGCACCGTCAAACCTTTCGGATTCATTTTAGGCATTGCTTTAAGTGCGGCTGGAATCTTGAGGAAACTCTGCTTCGCAGCATCAAATTCACGTCGAATCTGTGCTATCTCATCATTAAGAACTGAAGTATCAGCTTCAGGTCGAGTCTCTCCATCTCCAAATTTCAACAGAGTTTTCTCGGAAGCAATTGCTCCATAGCTTCGAAAACCTATATTCAAGTGAATTGAAACAAAAAATTAATTTCAACAGCCGTAAAGATCAATATACATTTCCAACAAACATTTTAATTTTGAGGCACTTCAATGCAATTGATATTCTGTAAAAATATCAGATAAGCATTGTTGCATGTATAAATATAATATATATATATATCAGAGAGGACGAGAGAGAACCTTGCAGAGCTCCAGAACCAGAAGATGGGAAGCTCGTCCTCTGCAACAAAACATAAACAACAAATAAGATTGGAAGTTATCAGTACGAAAATATGTGCACAGAGAGAGAGAGAGATATATATATATATATATACGTTGATGGAAGAGCAGAGAGGAAGCAGCCTACGAAGGCAGGCCATGGGAAGGGAAGAGAGGGGTTTTAGCTCTGCAGCAGCATTCGGAGGTTAGGGTTTTCTCTTTGAACTGTAATTTGTAGGGTAAAACGGAATCGAATTGAAGGGCGAGGAGGATGCTGAGATTGTAATGAAGGAGATGAAATTACAACAGGCATGCGAAAAACGAGGATTGCCAGTCAGTAGCCGCCATTTTAACATTGACTTTCTGGTACAAACGTTACCACCCTTTTCTGTGTTACTTTTTATTTTTTACAAATTTGATTTTGTTCTTGAAATATTAATAGACACAAGCCACTCGTACCTACTCCAATCCTTAGATTAAAAGTCAAATTTTAGTTTCTAAATTTACCCTAATTTGCTTCAATCTTTAGGGCAAATGTGAGTTAAAACTCAAAACTCATTTATAGGCCAAATTTAGCCCGGGATTCTTCTTGAGTTAGTAGGGCTGACCCACCATATATGTATATTTTTTTTTAAGTTTTATATTTATAAATTCATTGCATCCAACCGTTAAGATCTAATTTAATGAAATTCAACGGTAAAAAAAAGTATCTAATGGTCAAAATTTAAATCAAACAACTAAAATAATTAAAAAAAATTCTTTAGGTGTTTCATATTTTTTCATAGTGTTTCATGAGTTTTATGGTGTCGGTCAGTAATTTTTCAATATTTGTCGGAATCTAAATATTTTTAGATTAAAATGTTCATAAAATTAAATTAGGATAGTGTGACAACCCGTTCCAAATTTTATGTTTTATAAATTTTAAAAGCATGAATTGACGAAAATGTCATAGAGGCAAGGATTTTGACTTTCGTTGGCCATTGTTTAGAGAGATGTATGAGTCATTCTTTTGGAGTATTTTCGTAGTAATCATTGTCACGAACGCATAGGCGAAAGCCATTTGCGAGTCCGGATTATAACGATATAGTTATGAAAGTTTGAAATTAGTTATTTAAAGTTTAGCTATAAATAAATTGAACTCCCACCTTGTGGGAAAGAAACCAATCAGATTTTAAGCAAGAATAAGGGGACTAATCAGCTATTTTGTTTAAGTGACCAATTAAATATGTTTGAAGGAGAACCAATCAGAAATTAGAGAGAGGGATCAGCCAATCAAGAAGGAGAGAGAAGAACCTCATCCCCTTCCCTTTCAACTCGTGCACACCAATTCAGTTCAACCTCCTATTTTCCAAGGCCGATTCTAGCCAACTCCGATGGAGTCTTTCGACGCCACCACCACCATCTTGAAGCTTTCATTCCCCTCTACAAAACCCAACCAAGAACCACCTTGATTAACCACTGTATGAGGTGGTTTGAGACCACGAAAGTCAACGGTTCTCTCGGTGCTCAGGCCACCATTTTCAAATTTCCGGCAAATAGGCAAAGCAATGGCCGATGCCACCAGTTGGGCTTTGTAACCCATCATCCTAGGAGAAAATCCCAACCAACCTTGACCCTGTTGGACCACCGTAGACGACGAATTGACGCCGAGAAGCTTTAGGCACCCGCTGGCTTTATGGGCAAAATTGACTATCTTCCGTCCACTTTTGGACTTCGTGGCAGGGATGAAAGTTGTTCCTCTATTTGAGATCTTCATTTTTGTGAATTTTGGTAATTTTTAGAAATAGTTGAATTTTCCAACAAGTCGAGGCGGCCAACCGCCACCTTCGGCAGCGTATAGGCCGAGGGGTCCCTTGACCTTCCTAGGATAAATTTGAATACCTTGGTTCCACTTGTGAAGTCAGATTGACGAAATTCCATCGTTTGAACTTAGTTCCATTAAGGTCCGCCACTTGATTATTACAGCAACCGACGATCCGACCGTGGGATCATCATTAAATTTTAATACATTATAGTACATAATATTTGAGGATATTAGAAACTTACGGATCAGAAATCTGACATGCGGATCTTCTGGATCGAGTTACGTAAGGTTGTGGACTCTACCGTCGATCTTTGGCCGACGATTGACTTTTGGTCATTGTGTCCCAAATCATTCTAGAACGTCCTTGGGGATATGTTTTATGTAAGTTACGTGTTTTATCGATAAGAACTTTGAGATGTGATTTGATAATTGTTATAGGCGACGATGGTTTGTGATGTCTCGATTTTCATGCTAGGGAGTCATAGCGTGGACCTCAGGTGAGTGGGTCTTTTCCTTTTATCATATATAGATATGACTGATAATTCCACAAATGCTTTTAAATTGTTCTATGCATTTCATGCCATGTTAAAATACTATGGTATGGTTGAGTTTTAGATTGCTTTATGGTATATCTATATGCATATTATCAGCATATAATTACTGTGAATGCTTTGAAGTACTAAGTTGAACTACGAATGGCTTGATCCCGTTTGAGGGTACGTAGGCAGTCTAACAAGACAGTTAGATGCATCCATAAAACAATCCAAATTTAACATGGTACTGGATTTCTTTAAGGAAAGAAGTTATGATGGTTAACAGTGTAGAGTTAACCATGATTTTATTTTGGTCTATCATTGGTTTAGTTCTGATTAAGAATGTTGGGACGTTAAAGTGGTTATGCCAAAGGATGCTGCGGATGCCCAGGTAAGCTTTAGGTGAGTACATGTTGATGATAGTGATTTTATAGTGTATGGTTATGTTTTTATGCATTTAATGCTCATTATCCTGCACCTCGGTGTTTGTGCTCCGCCCGAGGATAAGGCCTAGCCTTCACGTAATCGTTCACCTCCCGCACCACACACTCACTCTAGATCCAAGGTAGGTGCCAGCCTGTCGTACAGACCACATTAAGTGGTTCTGACTCGTGTGCAGAAATTGGTAGATGAGCTATATAGGCAACTTCGACATTGTCGTACAAGTTGCCTATGAGTCGTACAGGTCACTGTAGGTGACTCCGACTCATGTGCTAGCATTGATTGATGAGATATGGATGAGTCATACAGGTTACTATAGGTGACTCCGACTTATGTGCTAACATTGATTGATGAGATATGGATGAGTTGTACATGTTGTGCTAGCATTGATTGATAAGATATGGATGAGTCGTACAAATCACTATAGGTGACTCCGACTTATGTGCTAGCATTGATTGATGAGATATGGATGAGTCGTACAGGTCATTATAGGTGACTCCGACTCATGTGCTAACATTGATTGATGAGATATGGATGAGTCATACAGGTCACTATAGGTGACTCCGACTTATGTGCTAGCATTGATTTATTGAGCATATGTTTATTTATATTGCTCATGAGATGTTGTGTTGTGGTATATTTATGGATTTACTATTGATATACTTTTGATTTTACATTGATACGTGGTATGATTTTTTTGGAAACTATACAGGTGTTACATCGATGGGTTATAACGATTTAGAAGGTTTTTATTAAAATTTTATTTCCAGAGCCACTCAACCTTGCTTTGTTTCCACCCTCCAGGTTTTTTTTTAGCTGAGATTTCTTATCGAAGAGGATTCGTGGCAAATCTTGGTAATGGACATTACGTTCGATGGTATGATTCTCAATCCATACTATTGTACTTCACTTATGCTCTGACATCACGTGTGAAATGGATTGATTTCCGCTCACAACGCACTCTCGTATTTAGGCACTTTTAGATTTAAATTTATTCACATTTTTTTTCTCTCCCACATCACTATACTTTATGGCTTCGTCACCCTCTTGGTGTCGGCTAGCACAACCCGATTTGGAGTCCAAGTGGACTTTCCGGGTCGGGGTGTGTCAGATAATCTACATAATTTTGTCTTTTAAAAAAAGTTACTTTTAAGCAAAACAAATTAGTCTAAATTTATTCTTTAATAATTTGGGGCGAAAATTTTAACTTATAAGGGTTAGAGCAAATAAAATGTTTTTGAGTTAAAACCTAAATTTTCTTAACCTAAAGGGTTGGAGATGGTCTCAGTACTACGGTTTGGTAGTATTCCTCTTAGCTTAGAAGTGAGATGTCTTATGTTCGAATCTCTGGATGGCGAATTTTATACCAAATTAGGCTACCTATTGTATGGCTTAGCCGAACTCCCCCTTCCCCTAGTGTAAAAATATCGATGTACTAAAAAAACAAAGACACAAATTTTAAAATTTAAACTATTTAAAGATAATAAGTAGGGTGTTGAGTAGTACTGTCCCTTGAGGGTAGTGACGGTGAGTAAAAATGTACTCTTTTGTTTTACTATAAATGATATTCTACACTAATTTTACTAACAGGGAGGAACCCATTAACACATCAAAAATGTTACTCTTATCATTTATTTGTACTATTATTTGTATCATCTTTTTAATAAAGATGAAATTTACATGCGTTGGCGAATTACTCTTTACACATTAGGTTGAAAAAAAAGACCCTAAAGAATCTCGATTGGGCGCGGGATTTGCCAATTAAAAATATTGAAATGTATTACTGTTTGGGCTCAAAATAATATTTTGGGCCGAGCTGAAAGTCATTCTCGATCCAGTAACATTAATCTAGAATTTCATCATGGGTTGTCCAGTCAAGGTCAACCGAATCCTGTTGTGAGAATGATTGGTTTAGATAAAGGAAAGGTATCTGAACCCTAGTACAACAAGGAGTCTTAAAGTTGAAGATGCTTAGAATTAGGGAATGAATTTGGTTCGTTAAAGAGCTTGGTTTAAAGTCCTATTGGAGTTAGGATTGGCCGAAAACTGATCAGATTGAGATGAAGAGTTCTAATCCGAGTACATCTCTATTTTGGCCATGAGAGGGGTTTGCTGCTATAAATAGAGAAGGGAGTGTATCATTCAAAACCCTTTCAAATCAATACACAAATTGCCATACGCAAAGCTTCTCAACAACCTTTGAGATTTTATCATTTTCCCTTTTCTTCCCACCAACACATCTTCAGTTTAGATAAACAGCACTATGAAGGCAACCAGCGACATCTTCAGTTTGGATAGACAGCACTGGAGCCATGGAATCAGCAGACCGAGGAGCACCTTTAGTTTGGATAGATAACACTGCTTCGAGGTCGATTGGTTATTTATCTAAGTCTCGGTCGACAAGGATTTTCTAGTCATTGTTGGGAGAGGTTATCTTATCAGCTTTCTCGACGAAGTGAGGTGTTACAGGTTACTAGGCTCGGCACATTGAACGTCGAGTTTTGCTTTATGATTGGATATTCATAGGTACATTTTAGAGTTCGGCACTCCGACGGCCGAACCACATTTATCTTTTTCGAGTATTTGTGTTCGTATAGTCT